GAGTGGAAGGGCCGCCTGCCAGCATCGCCGCCTCGCTCCCGCTGACAGGGCGGGAGCGCGGACCCCGCAGGTCCCGGCCTCGGCCCCGCCCCTAGACCCCCGAGCCAGGCCGCGCACATGGGCTAGGGGGTGGCGAAGATGTTCAGCTTCGAGGGTGACTTCAAGACGCGGCCCAAGGTGTCCCTCGGCGGCGCGAGCAGGAAGGTGCGCGGGGCGCGGGGCGGCCTCCCCGGTGCCGGGCCGGGGTGCGAGCGTGGCGGTGTGACGGCCGCCGGGGCCGGCGCTGCAGGGCCCCTGGTCGGTGGGGTCCCTCGGGCGTAGCATCAGCGGCCATTCCACGCTGGCGTCGCAGGCGTTGCAGAGCACCTGGGTAGGGTCCCCTCGGGGACTGGCTGGCAGGGCTGTAGCGCTGCCAAGCCGTGGCCTGTGCGCACAGCGCATCCGTGTGGCACCTCGGGCTTCCCTGGCCAGGCGCGTCCTGCACGCCCTCCACGGGCGTTTTTTTTTTTTTTTTTTTAAGTAGCACTCCTCGGTTGAGAGGAAGCAGCTATCCGTTCATCAGGCTCTACAGGGGAGGCTGCACTTTCTGCTCTTCAGCTTTTCCCAACCCACCCTACCCCCCAAACTTTTTATTGAGGTGTAAACTTAACGTCTGGTCTTTTAAGTCTCTCCCCTCGCAGAACCTTGGGAGGGGGCCCTTGTGCGCGTGAGGCTGAGGAGCCGAGTCAGGAGCAGGTGGGGCAGGGTCGAGCTTTAACTCAGTCCTCATAAGAACATCCCAGAATTCCTCCTCTTTGTGTGTGTGAGTGATACTGTACTGGGGGTTGAATCCAGTGCTTTCATCCGAAACCACATTCAACCTGTCTTATTTCTTGAGACCGGGACTTCCTGACTTGCCCAGGCTAACTTGAAACGTGCAGTCCTCCTGTCTCAGTCGCCCAGAGTTTTGAGATTTCGGGCAAGCACCCTCACACCTGGCCTGAGGCAGGGGTCCGGCTGCCCCCTGGCTGTCCTTGGGGTGGAGGTGGGAGTGTCATGCCCTTGGGCGGGGCAGGCCTCCTGAGAGGGCCCCTGGAGAATGGGTGCCCAAGGCAGTGTAGGACTACCCCCTGAAGGGTTTTTATATGCACATGCCCGTGGGCCCAGGGAACTGACACCAAAAGAAAAGCATTCCTAGCATTCCCCTCCAGTGTTCCTCTCTCCCAAAGGTGATGACCTGACCTCTGTTCCCATAGGTTAGCTCTGCTTTGTGCCAGTGAGACTTCCAGCCCTGTGTATCCTGTTGGTCCACTGTATGCGTATACTGTACTCTCCATCCAGTTTGTTGCCAGCATTTGCTGTGTGTCTTTTGGTACATATCACTCACGTGTAGTATCCTACATGACACACATGCTCTGTGCAGCCCACACTGCCAAACAGCTTTCCTCAGTGGGGTGCCTGTGAGCACCCAGCTGATGCAGCTGAGACTGTTGGTAGCTCTCCATCCTCACTGGCACTTGTTGGGAGTCCTTTTAGTTTTGGCCATTCTGATGGTGAGGTAGTTTCCATATATATATATATATATATATTTGCTTATTTTCACAATTTTTTTTTGGCTCTACATAAGTCCTCTCCCTCATTGAAACTAAAAGTTATAAAAATTTTCATGGTTGGTTGGTTGGTTGGTTTTTGAGACAGAGACTACATAGGTCAGGCTAGCCTTGAACTCACTTTGTAGCCTAGTCTGGCCTCAAACTCGTGTGCCTCCTGCCTCAGCCTCCCAGCTGTGTGCCACCATGCCTAGCTAGTTGGCCATAATCTTTTTCTTTGTAATACATAGAAGAATATTTTAGGGGTAATTTGATTGCAGATATAAAACTGGCTTAATAGGCAAAGTTAAAAGATAAATTTCTGGGAGAAATGCTATCTCATGGGAATATAAAGGTCAGAAACTTAACCACAAGCCAGGTGATCCTTCTCTAGGTGCTTGTGCTCAGTACTTCTGGTGCCCAAGCCCAGTTCTGCAGGCAGGTCTTTATCCTTTCCCCCTCACATGGTCTTGTCTGTGTATAACTTCCTACCTTAACATCTCATCTCATTTCCAAATCTCAGGAGAGGAAACCTGCCTGGCTTGGGGATGGTGAAGAGAGTCAGAGTCTTGTCACACAGTGTCTGAGGTCTGGGAAGAGATTCCTGGGCCAGGTGTTTGTGGGTGGATATCTAGGTTCCTGTGGGTCTCAGGCAGTGGAACTTGGGGCAGGATCTGAGTAGACATGCAGATTTAGGAGCTGTCAACAGACAGGTGACTTAGAATGCTGTCCCCTAGGAAATGTTTGACACTTGGGACAGAGGATTAGCACCACACTTTGGGGGAGGGGTTGAGAGCTATGTCTAGGAGGGAGCCTCACCAGCCAGCCACCTGCTGCAGAAGTGCAGTGAGGCTACAGTAATGACCTCTGCACTTGGAACAAGAAAGACTGGGGACCTAAGAGCTGTCTTGTAGGTCACAGTGTGTCCTGAGGAGTGAGTGGGAAGTCCCAAGGGGCAGCCTGTTTGAAAAGGACCAGAGGAGTGGGTGACAGGGAGGGCAAGTTCAGGGTCTAGGGAAGCTTTCTGGGGTATGGGGAAACAAGCAAGTTTATGGACCCAAAGGAGCAAAAAGAGACAGGGAAGACAGGAGCTTGGTTGCTTTCAAAATCCTGGAGGAGGCACAAGCCTGGAAAGATTCAGGTGTAAGCAGAAGGAAAATATTTTCAGATTGAGGAAAGAGAAGGGGGATGAGTGTGGAGAGAAAAGTGTGCAGGAGGAAGAAATTTAAATTGTCTTTCCTAAGTTTCCATAGAAAGTTGAAGTAATAGTGGTTGTAGAATTAAGATCAGTTTCATGTTTACCCATTGCTTTGTAAAATAATAGACTTTCTTTTTCAGAGCAGTTTTAGATTTTCAGACAGTGAGCAGATGGGAGGGTTATTTGCCCTGGTCCTGAACCTGGTGCTTCCTTGAGTGTTAGTACCTTGCTTTAGTTGGGTCATAGTTATAGAGGATGGGCTGGTACCATTGCATTACCATTTCTGAAGTTTGGTATGCTTTGAGATTCCCTCTTGGTGCTGTAGGGGTTTGACAGTTAGAGAATGACTGTCTTACAGTGTTTTAAGAACTGTTCCACTGCCCTAAGAGTCCCTGGTGCTCTGCTTCATCAGTCCTCCTCCCTTCAACCCCTGGCTCCACTGGTCTGTTTCCTGTCTCTAGTTTTGCCTTTTCCAAATGTGATCTAACTGGAATCATACAGTGTGCAGCCTTTTTGGACTGGTGTCTTCACTTTAATAATGTACTTAAGTTCCCTTCATGTCTTTTCATGGTTTAATAGCTCTTTTTTTTTTGGTACCAAGGATCGAACTCGGGTCCTTGCGCTTGCGCAGCAGGCGGCAAAACCACTGAGCTAAATCTCCAGCCCAGCTCCTTTTTTTTTTTTTTAACAATCAGTAGACTGGATTTATAGAAAAATTGATGGGAAAGTAGAGTTGGCAACTATTCTTTCTCTTCCAGAACAGAATTTCATCAGTTATTTTTAACGTGTTTGGTGGTCTGTTACATTTGACAAAGGAATATATTGATACATTATCATGTAAGTTTTTGGTTTCTGTTACTAATGTTACAAGTTGGACTTTTTTGACCTTGGGCTTCTTTCACTTAGCAGTATAGGTCCTCTTCTTCTCTTGGGAATGTCCCCCTTCCCCCACCTTTGGCCATAAGGTTTCATAGTATGGATGTGCCAGTTTGTTTATACATACATCTATATTGGAGGACATCGTGATTCCAATTTGGGACAATTAGGAATAAAGCCATTTGTGTGTAGGTTTTTGTGTACCATTTCGGGATCACTGCTCGTAGGATGAGCAGTGTTTTGCTTGTAAAAAATGGTCACAGGTCTTTCCAAGTGGCTGTATCTTAGGCATGCTCACCAGCAGTGACTGTGTCAGGGCTTGGCATTGCCAGGTTCCTGGTTTGGTCTACTCTGGTAGGTGTGTGCTGGCATTGCATTGCTGTAAGTCACAGTGCCGTGCTGGCACACGATGCTGAGCGTCTTTTTAATGTGCTTATTTTCCAGGTGTCTATCTTTAATGAGGTGTCTTTTCAGATCTTTGCCCCATTTTTAAATTGAGTTGTTTGCTTTCTCACTGTTTTAAGAGTTCTTTGATATGCATCGGTTCTCGGCCTTTTGGCTAAGGTCAAGTGAAGAGTTCTTTGATTATATGTATTTCATGTATATTTTAGATACAGTGGAAATCATTTTTCAAATTTGTCTTATTTTCTCCACACTTACTTTTTTTTTTTTCTTTCCACACTTTTTTTAAAAAACAGATCATGCTTCTGATGTTGTACCTAAGAAGTCTTCAAAAACCCAAGGTCTCCTACTTGTTCTATGTTCTGAAGTTTTATGGTTTCATATTTTATATTTAGATCTCTTATCCATTTAAAAATTAAAAACATTTTGGGCTGGGGATTTAGCTCAGTGGTTTCATTGCCTGCTGCGCAAGCCCAAGGACCTAAGTTCGATCCCCAGTACCCAAAACAAAGAAAAATAAAAATTAAAAACATTTTATTGTAATTTATTAAATGTAATAATTGTACATATTTATGGAGTACCTGTGTTTAACACATTTATACAGAACTTACAGGTCAAGCCTGGTCAAGAAATTAGTATTTTTGTCCCCTCATGTTTCTTTGTTTGGAGCCTTGGAGCTCCTCAAACACTGTATAAATAGGTCATTGTGAACTGTAGTAATCCGGCTGTGCTGTGGAACACTAGGCTTACTCCTGTCTGTGTTCCATCTCAATCCACTTTGCTGGATATAACAGGATTTCATTTTTTATAGCTGAATAGTATTCCCCTGAGTGCGTACTCTACATTTTATCTGTTGATGGGCATCTAGCTTGATTTTATATCTTGGCTATTAAGAATAGTGCTGCAGTGAAAATGGACAAGCAGGTATCTCTATGATATGCTGATTCATCTCCTTTGGATATTTGCCCAGAAGTGGGGTGGCTGGTAGCTGGGTAATTGGTAAATGTGTTTTTAGTTTTTTGAGGAACTTTGTTGTCCATATTCTGTTGTCCATAATGGCTATAGTAATTTATATTCCCATCAGTAGTTTTCCCCATATTCTTACCAGCATTTGTTATTTTCTTTTTATTCGTTTTTGTTTGTTTTTTCTTTTTAATAGT